TTATTGACAGTATAATTACGTTAATTTACTGTCAATGACAGCACAATTACGGTCAACGTTTAGGGGCGGATGTAAAAAAAAAAATTATAAAAAAAAACACTAAAAAAAAGTCAACGCCGGAATCCGGTGGCTGAAAAAACAGACCAGAAAAAAAAATCGAAAAATCAATGCCGGAATCCGGCGGCAAAAAAAAAGTCAAAATTGCATTTTTGTGGACAAAATTGATTAAATTGTGGTTACAATTAAGAATTGGGTATAAAGGGTTGGGGGTAATATTGTCATATACATGAATGTTTCATTTATTTATAATAAATATTAAAGAAATGGGCTTATTGGTGAAAGAGATATAGTGCTTGAAACCTAAATAATAAAGATGTTTGGTTAAAGATCTATGCACAAAAACCCCTAATTTATTAAGCACCAATGACCTACTTTTTCTATTTAAGTTTATTTTCTGGTAAATTTCCAACACCCTCAACTTTCAGAAATAAACACTTAAAACCATCTTAACTCACAATCAGTAACTTCTACTTTGAAATAAGTTTTTGCAAATACCACCTTAGTTGTTAACAAGCGTTTGAGAGATTATTTTCTTTCTATCGGTTAATACGTTGTCCTTATTCTTTAGTTGACCGTTGATTGTTGATCGGAAACCACAATAAGGACCGATAAATGGCGTACCAAAAAGAAAAGAAATTGATCGGACAGAGCAGACAGTAAAACTAAAAATTAAGCTCCTTGTTTAGTCTCTAAGTTGTTATTATTATTGACAAAAAATCCTTAGTAATACTGCTTAACCAGGCAATCGTGCCTAGGGGTGTTGCGGGCCATAAACCCGCGGGTTCTATCTAAACCCGTCCTTGTCCCGTCAAACAACGATTCTTAGTTTTGAAGAATCAAACTTGTGGGTTTTTAATGGGATTACGATAGGCGGGTCCATGGCGGATATGTAGTAGGACCCAACCTTTACGGATCGAAACCCGGTAGACAAACATAAATAATGTAAATGTCAAGAGTAAATAAAAATTAATACAAGTCTTAACCATAAAATCCATTATAAAACTAAAAGTAACTAATTCGGAACTTAAAAGACAAAATTTAAATAAAATAAATATAGCATTTCCAAGCATAACCAAAGTCATTCAGCTTCATTCAACACCATTTTCATCCTCTCTTTTTTCGCCGTGTGTTGATTGTTGTACATATATGCTTTTTTCCTATGTTTTCTTAGAGATTTTCATAATCTTTATAGGAATTACTTCCACAATTATAATTTAGTTTATTTATATATTTGATATACTAGAGATACTTTATTTATTCATTAATATTATTAATTTATTATACTATATAATATAAACAAAATGATGTCGTTTGGTATGGCGGGGCGGGACGGGTATTACAGGTATTAAAAAAAATTAAACCCGTCTTAGACCCAAGCCCACGGGTCTTCACCATTTTAGGACCCAATCCTATGGATGGATCTATCCGTCCGGTCCCAACGGACGGTTTTTCACGAGTTTGATGGGTGTAGCGGGTTGATGGGTTCGACTTGCTCACCCCTAATCAGGCCCCATCTAAATAACTCGATAATAATAATAATATTATTATTATTAGCTTGGTCTTCTGAAGTTGACTATTGAACACTAACACACACAAGTATCAGAACAAAATCAAGCTCCACATAAGTTAACTAAAATCAATCCAATTTTATAGTAAGTAGAGAGAGTAGAGATCCAAATGATTAGTAAATCCATTTTTCAAGAAGTCGGTTATTTAACCATCCTCCCAATCATTCTCATCCTCGTCGTCTTCTTCTTCGGAAGCTGCTGCTTCTACGTTTAAGTCAACTTTAAACTGTTCAGATGTGCTACCACCACCTGAGATAGATAGAGAGAGATAGAGAGCATAATTTAAACACGCGGAGAAACTTTCTATATATAATGACTCCCTAATGTCAAATATTGGCAAGATCGTCGTCGACTTATCAGGATAAACAATACATGAGTAAATAATGATGGCAATTACCTGCAGGAGGGGCTTCCTCCCACTCGTCTTCACCACTTCCATAGTCCTCGCGTTTGAATTTCATGCCAACTTGGCGCTGGGTGGATGTATCATATGCTTCATTAGTGATTGCAGTATTAAGAAAGTCCTCTTCCTTTTTCACCGTTTCTACTTGCTCGTGTTGCCGATTAAGCAGAGCAGCATAATAAGCTTTAACATATTCATCCTAAACAAAATAAAAGGTATGGTTTTCGTCACCAGCAGTAATAATATGATATCCACATAAACTATCGAGGATTAAATAAGTGCCAACACCTGAGAGAAATACATAATACATAATATAAACCTGAAAAATCTTTTCTTCATCATTTACAATTGCGGACTTTTTGTCATCTAAAAGATCTGAAGCTGAAGGGGCGGCCCCATCGATCTTTGGGTCTGCCCCAGCCTCTCCACGTTGCTCTTTTGTAAGATTCATACCTTCCCTTATCATCCAAGGAGGCAAGACTTTCATAGGTGTACTGGTGTTCACCGATTTAACGTCTCCTTTATCATCAGCACCAGAGAAAGCAACTTCAACCTGCCAGAACTCGGTTTTAAGTTTTCATATAGGAAAAGCCACGAAATTAAATAAACAATAACCACGAACACCATAACAATACTTTCGCCAACCAACTACAAGCAGAGTATGGTAAAGTCAATTCATGATTATTTCAACACGATTTTTATGCATTGAAGACTACATACATATTTTTGTTATTCGAAATCACAAATTTATATGCTTCCTTTGTTGCTTCTCATTAACGATATATACAACAGTCATTAGAATAAAACCGAAAAAATCAGGACTATATTTCATATGATCTGCCGATCTACTCCTAAACTAAAGTAATTGAGAAATAGAATATATTTTCCTACTCAGACACATCATACTGAATGATCAAGTCATCCAAGGAAAATGAAAGAGTGACACGAGGAGAAATAAGGATAAACGTCTCCGCTGCTTCCCCACTTTGACTGTGGTCAATGACAATCTATCTAACTGGCTTCTACATTCAAAACATACCTATGCTTTTCCATGCAGTAAAAGAAAACAAGAACTTAAAATATATAAGTGAAGACTTCAAGAAGACCTTAGTCTCCCCAAGATAAGGCATAGGAGTTCCATTAAAACCGTGCAGAGATTTAGAATCGCCATTAGGATCTCCATTTGCAGCTCGGTTAGCAGCATTTGCTCTAACTTCCCAAGCTTGAAGATTTCCGAACTCGGGGATTGGCAAATCCTTTACTCTTCCAAGTTGATCTGTCAGTGGTTTGAGTTGTTCCTGTACTCCAACAAACATTCAAAATTCAGTAAAGAGGCTACGGAATTGGCGAAGCAAAAAGCAAAAGCTTCATTCACTTGAGATAAAGGGTTAGCTACAAAAACTACCCGTGATGTTTTGCCTAATTACAAAGAAAATCAACAAACTTGCAAACACAACCCCCTCGAAATTTAATAGCGGTAATAAAATTAACATAAAGTTTCATTGCTCAGTTTACCCCTAAGAGAATTAAATACTAATAAAAATAATTAAAGAGACTATGCCCTTAAAATTTATTTCAGTTAGTGGGGTGTCTAATATATAACTGCAAAATTATGGGTTGCTTGAAATAATATCCATTTTTAAAGAAAAGAGCCGTTGTACTCAAGATTCTGACCGTTGCAATCTCTAAAACTGGCCATAACACTACAAATATCACCATTAGGTCTCGATTTTCAGTAGATAAACTAAAATGGCTTATTCAAGCTCTTATTCTAGTGCATCAAATTTGAAATCTAGGAAAGATAAATACATCCGAAGGTCATGCGAAACAAAACAACTATTATAGTTTCCGAAACATTAGAAAATCGGGGTAGAATTTTTATTGTTGTGCAACTCATGGTTTCTCTCATCGGTGCATACATGAAAGAAGAAGGTGAAAGAGATTGCCATGTGAAAAATGTCAATGAAGACGACGATGAAACTACAATCAACTTTCATAGATCGACTACACCAACTGGAAATGATACGACACAACTTAGACTAGTGTACAAGTCGTTAATTCTAGGCATACTACTTGTGTACACGTTATGCAAAATTGTACTTTTATTTGCAAAATAGTTGTAAAATTGTCCATCTAGTTGAACGTGTCTTGTATTGTTGTCAATTTTTGAGTGTACTAATATATTACTTTTACCTCCCCTATATACATCTCATCATATAACATTCAACTCCGCTGTAAATTTAGTAACAAAAAGTTGTAAAAGATGAGGGTAAAAGTGACATTTCACATGTTCCGTTAGGCATAGTAAGCGGAACCATCTAATAGCGGAGGTTTGGGCAAATTTTTGAACTAAGAGGGAGGGATCTGTAATTTCACTAATGGGTTCAAGTAAAATTAATCCTAATATGTATCAATGTTGCGAAAAATGATATATTTATATTTTGAATTTAGATGTATATGTTAGCCACTTAGTCTTTGTATAGTAAGCCCTTAGAAAATCTCCAAGTGGTATTCATTATGTTTGCAAGTTTATTGATTTTCTGGAAAGAGCAACAATTGGATGGATAAGGAGGTTAGTTTTTATTTCCTTCAAATTTTGAAAAGGCGATAAAGTGAATAATACCAACCCGAAATATAAATATGAATTAGAAAAAAGGGACAAACCTCCATCTTTGATAGCATGTCTTTTAGTTTATCATGGCGACGTCTGCTGGCATTATCATCTCCATCTCCCATTTCTTGAGCAGCTAATTTGTCACTCTCAGCAACAAGGACTCCATTGCAGCTTTCACAGTGGAAGTCCTCATCATATGGAGATATCAAACGAAGTGCATCAAGTGCAGTATATCTGTCGTTCGTCTCAAACAAATTATCAGATTATATAATATCCATATAATCTTAAAACAAAAACTTTGAGAAAATTGCTAACAGCAAACACCTCTTATTGCAGCTTGGGCATATATACTCCTGAACTGTGTTCTTGCTATCCATTTCATCCTTCAGCTTTTTCTTCATGCGATGCAGTCTGTACCTCACCACATCATATATCTACAAGGAAATTAATATGAACACTTAATTAAAATGGAGTTTACATATATCCATGGTAGCCAATTATATCACTGAGTGATATCATTACAAAAATAGCATTTCGGGAAGTTCTTGGATAATAAATATAAATATTTGATAAAAGTAATCAATGGAGATGGAACGTAAGTCTAAAACCATCTACTTCAGTCAAATACATTTCATAGGTTTTCTGAAAGGCTATACAGAGAAGTTTGTAACGGTATCAGCACTGTAATATACAGTATATAATTTCTAGCACTTGTTGCACATCACTAAAGCTTCAACTACTGAGCTGAGTCAGACGGATAAAAGTAATCACGTATGCCACCAGTCACTATTATGGCCTATTATAAAGTTTTGTGCACTTAAATTTAGCTCCTTGTATGAAAAATGACACTAATTATAGAGAAGCATCTTCTACATTCAGTCCTACTTTTTCTAATTCTTCTCATCACTACTTAGATACTCTCGGCTCTTCTCCTTGTGTAATCTTTCCCCTTTCATTATAGTCTCTTTGAAGCAAACCACGCTTTATCTACTAAGCTAAGTCAGCAAATAAATTCCTTATAGAACCTACCTACTTCACAAATATGTAATAAGCCTTTTCCACCATCTAATTGGCTGTTTTCCTCAAGGAAATTGGCATTTGCAAATATGTAGACTTCATATATGAGGTTCGTTCATCCATCCAACTATATTAAAGTGCATAAAATGCATATTATATTTCCACAACAATATTTTTTTCTAGTAAGACAGTTGGCAAGTTAAGAACACCTGAGAGTAATCTAGACAACAATAGGACTGTGTATGCATTTTAAGTTTGTCATCGCCTTCTCTTCCATTCCTCTGACCATCAACTGCGGCAGCCACTGCAGAATTATATATTTTTGCACCTTTGGAATTCTGCAGATGATAAATAATATCAATGAGGCACAGCACATATAAGAAGGTAATAAAAAAACGAATTACCAAAGTATCCTATACTATCCCTGAGAAAGTCAGGTTTCAGTGACAAATAACATCTCCTAACAGATCGCATTTAGAAATGAAAATTTTGGAACTAATTCAAGGTACTTCAAAGATAAATTAATACAAAAGGCAATTGGTTAAACAAAATATAATTAAAAAAACAGAGAGAAGAAGAAGAAAGAAAAACTAGATGCATGTCTGGTACAAGAGAATTATCATTTCAAGATGGTATTTTCCACGTATTTTACTCCTACTCGTTAGATATGATTAAAATATGCAGAAGTGGATAGTCATGGGTATGGTCCATTCCCATAAAAAGTGCTAAGAAGTCATTCCCACCCCAAAATAATGATCATTCCCACTTAGAGTGAATAATATAAATATGTTTTACCCTTCCCTGACCCCCAAATCCACCTCCGGTCCCAATAACCGTACATTCACATTCAAGTGTCCCCTTCTACGCATGAAATACATGGTGCGCATAATTTCCACCTTGACCAAAAGTCAGTCCCAACGAAGGAAAGGAGGGTTATCGATCCAATTTTGTTATTAAATTGTTGCGGACAGACGATGTGGTATTCCCATTTCAATTGAAAAGACAAGTACAGAAACTAAACCACATAAAATAAGATCCTGAAGATGTGGAGGGACTACTTCTTCAAGAGAGAGGGACTGGTTTCAGCATAAACAGATAGATTCTATGTGGCCACGTATTAATACCTTCTACTTTCAGTTTCTACCAAGTTAGTTTTGGAACACCAAACCAAGCTAGTAAAAAATGATTAGTCCCATGCATTTGGTAGATTGACCAGACGTACGAGTTACAGTATTATCAAACACATGACGTGCATGCATATCAGTGAATGTATGTCCATGTATATTGTATAGCACTCACAGAAGTGTAAAAAGAATGGCTAGAAAATAATGGTAAAGAAAGGAGACAAATATTTAAGCCATGATGCTGAACAAGCAGGGCATACCTCCTTGCGGTGGTCACGAGTGATTAGTTTTTCTTCTTCAAAGAACCTCAATGTCCGACGAAGTTGCTTGGTGTGGATTTTCAAGTCCTTAGCCAAATCTTCTTCCCTAACCCACTGACGTCTAAAACAAAAATCAAATATAAAGTGATAATACTCTGAATATCAGCCCAACCACTTTAATTTAATCAACTAAATGATAAGTCTAATCTACAATTTATCAAAATTGGCATGAATAAAACTCAAAACCTACTATCTTCAACAATAATTTAAAACATGAAAGCCATATAAAGATTACATGAATAAAAATCACCAGTTAATATCGAACTACAACAATAATTAAAAACATGAAAACCATATAAATGTTTAAAATAGGAAGCAAAACACATATTACTCGAAGGTAACTTGCAGAAGAAAAATCACATAACTTAATTTGGAAATCAGGGCAGGAATTAAGTCTTCCCTATAATTTATTGAATTTGTAGCACTTCAGAATGAAAATTAACATTTATAGTGCAACTCGCAGGTTAAGAGTAAGTATAATAATTTTTGGTAAGACTTCGACGAACTCAATAATGCACCAGAGAAAATACTACAGTTACATATAGATGATTCCTCAAGCTCCCCATTTCTCTTCTTATTTTGACAAGAGAGCTTGCATATATAGTGGACAAGTATTACAATGTTCATTTCAGACTTCAATGAACTCAACAGTGCACCAAACACGTACTATCAATAAATGAAATGAATTATTTCGTCTTCATTCTTAACAAGTTGCAACTTAGAACGTAGATTTTCACACACCATATCCACTTTTTTTTTTCATTTTAAGAACAGACGTGTCACGTTCATGCACTACGAACTCAATACTGAAACAAACACGCAGTAGCACTCGATGAGAATTAATTAAGAACTTCCACAAACATAAAAGGAAAGAAAAAACTTACCTAGTAAGAGCATCAAGAATGACAACGGCGGTTCCTCGGTTGTCACTTCTTCCAACCTTGGTCTGGTTTTCACCTTTCGTTGTCATGTCATCGTAAAACGCTCTTGCCGCAAGTTTTACCAAGCTAATTTCACATGTTAAACAAAAAGATTGAAATTTTAGAACAACAACAATTAAGAACCTTAAAAATAAAAAAATAAAAAAATCAATCATACAGAAATTTTATTACCGATTGAATGGTTCGATGCTAGCCATTCGCTAAGCTTCTAGGAACGAGTTGAGACTTGAGAGTAATACAAAAAAAAAAAACTTAATCTCGAGCAGCCCCACTGCCACAGCTTTGCATTCACATTCAACCAAAATTCAGAATGAAACGAAAAGTGCGTATAAGGTTATTACAATTGCACCCAAAAAACGGAGATAAAATTATGAAAATGAAAAAAAACCAATGCTAATCAATAAGATATGCTTGTTTCTCCTAATAATTATGTAAGCGTAAATTTGTCGTGAAGAACTCCAATTGGTGCGTGAACCTCGACGGGGGCAAAGATGAATCCGAGCAATAGAAGAGGCGATTTTCTAAATTTCCATGGAAGAATGTTTCGCCGGCGACTGCTGCGGTAACCTAGCCACAGATGGCGGAGAGCGTGGTGTGGGTCGATATATTTCTGCTGATTCCGGCGGTGTGAGGATTTGGGATTTGGGGTTTGTGGAATTAGTGAAGATCCGAAATTGTTCGGGAAAGTATATATATATATATTTATTTATATACATCTCACGAGTAATTAAAAGCTTGTACATATATTTGGGCCTAAGTTATTACACGAGAGTATACGTTTACCAATATGGTTGACTGCAGTTTTTTCATTACAAAAACTATAAAACATCGATAAATTAATAATTTCGTTTGAATAATTACTATTATTTCTTTTGGTCCCAACTCGATAAAAATATACTAAATTATCAGTTCGATAATTTAATATTTTGTTAAGTTAATAAAATTTTAGTATTCGCAACTATATTAATTTATAGAGAGTTAACGATCTGGTGAAATAGTTTTCTATTTTTATGTTTTGCTATTTTACTTTTTCACTTGGTTATGGCATAGCTTTTTGTAAGTTCTTTCTCTCTCTTTTTTTTTTTTTTTTTTCAATAAATCCGCCTTCAGGTACCTGGTGATGTTATATTTTTTATGTTGTTATTTTGAATTTTTTAAGTATGATTTTTATGATATAAAATTTGAAACTTTAGTTTGTTAATTTTATTTTCTCAAACAAACTGAAACGATTTTTTCTACCCGATTGATTTATAATTTGTCCCCACCTTGGAATTGTGCAATCCGAACTTGTTTCACGGTTGAAAAGTGCGAAATAGCACTCTATTGATGCATTGATTACACAAGAAAACTAGATATATAAGGTAAAAATTTTCTATTTTTTCACACAAATAAAAATGTAACCCCTTAGTAAACCACCGTGTTCCGCCCGAGTTCCGCCCTTTCTCACCTAATCTATTCTTGAAATAAATTGCCGCGAAATATTCGTATCTTGCAATATGTACGAGAATCCGTACGTATACATCGACTTGAAGATTTGAATGTAAGATGCGCGATGCATTTACAGAAAATCAACAATATTTCTCGTTTGGGAGTCGCGACGCAGTAGTGGAAAATTTCAGCAATATCCCTCGTTTGGGTGTTTGGGTCTATCAAGGTTATATCATAAGTAATCGTTAATTCTTACCATGGAATCTTCCATCTTTTCATTAATGCGGTCTCGTTGTAAATAGAGTTGTGTTTTAGCAATTATGAGTTTAGATTTGGGAGAATGGGGCTCTTTGAGATAACTCCCTCATTACTTTTTTTAATGGGGTAGACCCAAAATATTTTAGACCATTTGAGAAAAGCCTACACCCATTTTGAGTCATTATGTTTTCCAACTTTGCCTCCGCCCGCCACATCATCACAGCTGGGTCACGCGCTCAGCATTTTTTTTTCCGTTTTTTTTCTTCGTCTTTTCTGTTCCTTAATCGACTATGAAGCATAGTCGATTAGCCTTAATCGACTATGCTTCATAGTCGATTAAGGAAATTCTTTAATTTTTAAATTTTTTTTTTGTTTTTTATTTTTTTTTTCTATATTAGGTATATTAATCGACTATGATGAAGCATAGTCGAATAAGAATCTAAACATAAAAAATTACAACTGCGAAAAAATGCAAAATCAACTATATTTTACAAAAAATATACAAACATTATAAATGATTTATACAATTGAAATCAATAAACAAGAAATTCAAAAAAAATAAAAAAACTGGAGTCGATCAACCTTAATCGAATACCAGAACATAGTCGATTAGCTTAATCGACTATGAACATGTACATAGTCGATTAAGGTTTCAGCCTGCGCGAAATTCTCTACACGCGCCGTCCTCCGTCCTATCCACAAAAAAACCCAAAAACAGCCTCCCCCATCGTCACCACACCACCCAGAGCTCCTGTCATGGCCGAACCCGTCAGGTTTTGAGCATGTTCAGCTCCACCAATGAAGCAACATCAGTCTTGAGTAACGACAACAGCCTGAATCATTATATTGTTGACGCAAGATAGAAGTGAAGCCTTGTCCATCCGAGAAACGTTGGGTGCCACAGATCTGAGTGCGTAGAATCGGTGGTTCAGCTTCTACCTCCTCTGCCTCTCCGCCTCCACATGGTTCATCGTCGGCGTCGCGTCCGGACCCCAAGGTCCTGCCGGCTTTCTTCCTCTCTTCTTGTCCGAACAGTAGTCAGAGAGGCCTTGACGGAGTCGAAATCCTTGGGCAGGCTGAGTGCTAGAATCGGTGGTTCAGCTTCTACCTCCTCTGCCTCTCCGCCTCCACATGGTTCATCGTCGGCGGCGCGTCCGGGCCCCGAGGTCCTGCCGGCTTTCTTCCTCTCTTCTTGTCCGAACAGTAGTCAGAGAGGCCTTGACGGAGTCGAAATTCTTGGGCAGGCGACGTTAGTCAACGGAGGCAGCTTTCATCAATCTGGCGGCGGTAGCAGCGGACGGCGGGGGAGAGGCAGTGGTGGTGGTGATGGGCAGAGATGGTGGACGGCGGGGAGAGGTAATGGTGGTGGTAAGGGGCAGAGATGCTGAAAAAAAAAATATGAGAGAAATTAGGGTTTCAAAATAATACATTAACAAATAAGGGTAGATTTGGAATTATAAAAATAATATTTGGTGGAATACTAACTAAGGGGGTTTTCTCTAATTATTTTTGGGAGAGGGGGTTTTCATAACTACATTTCCTAGATGAGGGGGTCTTGCTAATAATCCCTTGGGAGAATTGGGTGAAGTAGAAAACTAGATCATAAAAACCAAGTACAAGTACTTCACATTAGGGAATTTGAGATTGGAAAAAAAGAATTATAAACCCACAAAAAAGACCAAAATATTAATAGAAAAAAACGAAAAAAAAATTATGATCGTGTACGGTTTTGCAAGTAGTGGACGTTTTTTTTTTGGGAGCATTCGTATCGGATTTAAAAGGATAGAGGAAGATGAAGAATTTCAAAAATATAAAATAACAATTTTACCTCTAGCACTACTTCTAGAGTTATAGGTTTAAAATTCTTCCTTTTTATATAGCGATTATTTGACAAAACCCCCTCATATGACATTTCCTATTAGAGGGGGTCCATTTTTTTTTCACCTTTTTGAGATAAATCCATAATTTAATTTTAAAATATATAGTACAATTATACCCTCCACCAAACTCGGCCAAATCTCACGGCGTTTAACCCTAGCCACGTTATCTCTTCCTCACTCTTTCTCTCGATCCATATTTCCCTCTTCCCCATCCACCCTCTTTTTTTTCCGTTTTTCTTCTCTCGACGGGCGGAATTCGATATGTCCATCTTCCCCATCCACCCACTCTTTCTTCCGATTTTCTTCTCTTGGCGGCCGGAATGACATAAAATGGAAGAGAAGACATAACCAGAAAAAATTCGATGATGACAAGGCTTAATCCATCGGATCTGGAATCGACAAGCAGATCTTTGTGAGGGATTTTTGTTCTGCAATATTGATGTTCCAATCAGGTACGTATTTGTGGGGAATTTTATTTTGTAGCAACCCTTTTATTTTCTTATTAATTAATGCTTGGGGGAAAAAGAAAAACAAAATAAAAAATCATTACTTCTGTACGTGGATACCATTTCTTCAGAAATTCATTTTTCATATTTGTAAATTAATCGAAGATTCGGTAATGGCAGCTATGAAGTTCACAGGTAGTACAATGATGCTCGCTCGCCCGATATTCCGACCCACACTTCATCCCCAAATACCCATCCATTTATTCCGGACCAATTTGCCGCCGGTCACCGGTTTTGGTGCTTTCCGGTGCGCGGCGACTAAATCCGGCGGCCAGGAGAAGAAGTCTCCGGCCCGGCTTGCTGAGGTTCAGCGGCTCTTGTATCTGGCCGAGGAGCGCTACAAAGCTGCTGGAGGTGGTGTCGAGCCGATTCCCAAAATAACACTAGGTAAATTCAATTTATTTTTGAAATTACTTTTTTAATTTGTCGTGTTTGATAATTATATTTCGATTCCGATTGTAGTTGTTTGAACACTAAATTGAATTACAGTGTTGTACTGGATTTTGATTGTTGATGATTGGTAGCATTAAAAGTTCAGTTGAACCACTTTTTATGTGTATACACTATCCAGTTAATTCTCTTCATAAGAATCGACCATAGTTTTAATTTCAATTTCTCCAGTTAATTCTCTTCACAAGTTTTAATTTGTAGCTGTTTAAGATGTTGGTTTGCTGCTGTTTTTGTTGCTGTCATTTTTTCTCTATATCCATAAATAAACTATATGATGGTTAATAAAATAGAAGTGACAACTAGTCGAATTGTTGAATGAGGTATTATATATATATATGAGATTTTCAATATACTTTTGAGGCTCCTTCATGTTTTCGATCACTATTTGAGTATTTGTTATTACACTTTTGTTGTAATTTTTTAGTGGATTAACCTATTTCGTAGTGGCTTATGTTAATATTCTAGTGGATTTCGAGAATTTTTGTATGGGTTTTGACGAGATTATAGTGGATTTTAAATTCTTGCTTTGGAGACCGATTTTTAGTGAATGAATTAAATTGACACGTTGTTGTCTTATTTTTCTTTGATTTAGGTTCTTGCACAAGCGGGTGATGGGAGCAAGTGGGACGATGTTGAGTGATGATAAGTTTGTAGTGTTTATCACCGGGTTACTCTAACCTAACGAAAACCACGAGCAACACTATCATAAATTCGGAAGCTTGTAGTGGATTTTGATAGGTTTGTTGTTGATGCATAAGTGTTTTTCTACGATAAGTTTTCAGTGGATTAAACATATATTACGTTAATTTTGTAGTGGATTACTTTAACCTATAAAGTGGATTTTGATAACTTTGTAGTGGATTTTGATAATTTTGTAATGGATTACGTTAATTCGTAGTGGGTTATGTAAATTCTTATTCGGCTCGATACGTTTAATTTGTAGTCCACTATATTAATATGAAAGTTGATTTTACGATAATTTTATACTGATTTCTACGTTAATCGAATAGTGGTTTTCGATGAATTTATAGTGGTTTTCAATGAGTATGTAGTGGATTTCAATCCATATATTATGTTAATTTTGTAGTGGATTACTTTAACCTATAAAGTGGATTTTGATAACTTTGTAGTGGATTTTGATAATTTTGTAATGGATTACGTTAATTCGTAGTGGATTATGTAAA